TTGTTGTTGTGTTTTCTGAATTGTTATTTAGTTTTTTAGACTTGCATTTGCATTTGTAATTTGTTATTTTGTTTTCAGAATTGTGATCTGTTTTGCACTTCTCGGCCACCGTATGATGATGATGTGCATGCGTTTGTTTCTCTGTCAGGTGGGAAAGTCTGTCGCAGTTTTCTGCCGTCAGTCAAACTGACACATTCCCCTCATACGGTAAGTTTGATGTTTTTGACCGTCTGAAGATGTGAAAGCGTTAGTGCATCTCTGTTTGTTTAATTAGTGTGTGTGTGTTTGTTACAGAGGAATGGTCATGTGACCTCGACTCTGTCCCGTCTGTGCAAGAACCCGCTGGAACAAACGCATGATTTCACTCAAGCCTGCAGCAGCTGCTTCAGCAGTACAGGTGACTCTGACACTCACAATCTGCCTGTTCTTCTGTCATCTTTTTATTGTTTTATTGGTCTGGCTATCGTTCTGTTTATCATTCTATCTGTGGTAGCATTCTCTAACCATTAGGCCACGACTGTTGTAGCATTCTATTGTGTAGAATGCTACCACAGTCGTGGCCTAATGGTTAGAGAGTCGGACATGTAACCTGAAGGTTGCGGGTTCGAGTCTCAGGGCCGGCACTTCACATCACTTATATTATTGTTCTTGTTATTGTTTTATAGATCTGTTTATCATTTCGTCTATCGTTCTATCTATTGTTCTATCATTGTATGTATTGTTCTATTTGTTTAATTGTTCTGTCGTTCTATTTGTCATTTTATCTGTCATTCTATTTATTATATCTGATCTATTTTTCTATTTATTGTTTTATCATTCTGTCATTGTTCTCTTTTATTCTGTCTGTTGTTCTATTTGTTTTATCATTCTATTTATCATTCTATATATTGTTCAATTTATATTATATCTGTCAAAGTATTTAGCGTTTTATTTATCATTATGTTGCTCTACCATTCGATTTATTATTTTATCATTCATTCTATCATTCTATTATTTATAATCTATCAGTCTGTTTGTTGTTTTATCATTCTGTCATTCTGTTTTTCATTTTGTCTTTTGTTCTATTTATCATTTTATCATTCTAATTGTTCTATGTATTGTTTTATCATCTATTACTTTATCATTTTATTATTGTCTTTTGTTCTGTCTATCATTTTATTGTTTCATCTGTTCTTTATCTGTTGTTCTATTGATTTTTCTGTCATATCATTGTTCACTTGTTATTATATCTATCATTCTATTTACCATTTTATCTATTGTTACATTTATCATTTTTTCTGTCACTCTATTTATCGTGCCATCTGTTGCTCTATTTATCATTCTGTCTATCATTTCAATCCTTCTATCTTTTGTTTTAGCAATTTAATTATTCTTTCGTTTTATCTGTCATCTCTCAGGTCCAGGTGTGCTAGATTTTGAGTTCAGGACTGATGTTTCTCACAGCTGTAAGAAGGATCTTCTGCTGTGCAGGAGGAGGGGTGGGGCTAACTCACCCTGGAGGCGGATTCGGCCCCGCCCAACTCACAACAACTTCCAGGCTGCTTTTGTGCTCTGTAGAGGTGCGTCACCAGTTAACCGTTCAGTGACTGATGACCTAATACCTTAACCCTTTGAGCGGTACGGTCCCACATATGGGATTTTTATTTCCGTGCCCCTGGGAGTACGGTCCCACATATGGGATTTAGAACGTTCGGTGACGTCACATAACTGCCAAATTCAAACTTTTGCGCTTTAGCTGACGCTGAGCCAGAGAGAGAAGTGCACAGTGCTTGTCATATTATCACAACTATGCAGTGTTCTTAACCACATAATGCATATTTTAGGTTTCAGACATTTAAATACACATAAGTACTAGTAAAACAATACATTTAGAGTTTGAAAAATACACACGTCTATGGAAGCAACAATAACCCATTCA